CACCGCAGACTTTGGAACACGCCGCGAACAAGAGTTGTTCAATTCCAAACACAATTGAACCATAACTTGAACGCCTGCAAATCCAATTTTCAGTACCCACACTAAAGAAAGATCGGATGTAGTGTATGGCGCACACCAGCGGCGAATGGGCTGTAAAGAGAATGCATATTAATTGGGAAGCCTGGGTTCGACTCCCAGCATCCGAGTGCCGACGTGCTACCCATTTTTTAATGAGCGCTTTGCTTTGTGTTCATGCCAATCCCAAGTCCGCGCTCAGCCCCCCCGGGCTCTTGTCGGTGTAATTATAATCCTACATAACTTATTGTCACCACATCGCGGCATCGAACCACAGACAAGGAGGAGGATATCATAATCACAACTAGTCAATTGTCCAGGTCCGGAGAGACCGGATTTCTCTCAACGGCATACTGGCGAGCGCATCCCAATCCACTCCCTTCCCAGATCTCTTAGAAAATTTGGATCCAAGTAGCCTATATGTACAGTAAACAATCCCGGCAGACTCCGGGGGCAACGAGCAAGAGGGAGAAGAGGGAAAGTGCAAATGTACACTTGTTGTGAAAATGCACACCCGTTGGGCATAATACGGGTGTGCATAATAGTACCTATCGAATCAAACCACAGCGCACTGGGTTCATGTCTGCTAACTGTGGATAGAAGTACAAGAATACAAGAATACGATTGCCTTGCTTTACATAATGTACTTTACATTACAGGTTACATCGGACAAAATCCAGATTTTTCTTCTATCTCTCCCAGCCTCGAGCGTTAAGCAGTAGACCCACCCCCGACATGCATCTTCTCCTTCAGCCGCTGCATCAGCTTCGGCTTCTTGCTCTTCTTCTTCTCCGCGTCTTTTCCTTCCCCCTCACCCTCGTCAGCCTCATCGTTCTCAGGCGATTCGTCCCCCTCATCGTCCCCATCCACACTCGAGCTCTGCCTATCCATCGCCGGCACGGGTGTGGGCGCTTCCGCAGCGTGCGCGTTAACCGGGTGCAACTCGGAGGGATCCAAAGACGGGTTAGGAGTCATCCCTGCCCCCGCCAACCCCACCCTCGCTCTCACCCCCTCCCCAGCCTGCCCAGGTACGCCATAAACAGGCACCTGCGCACCCGCAGGCACCACCGGCGTCGGCACGGGCGTTTCCGGCTCCGCGAGGCCGCCGTACGCCTGCGTGTGCGCACCATCAATTGCGGAGGCGTTAAGGGGAGTGAGGGAGGGAGGAGTAGCAAGAGACTCGCTCTCCGTGCTCGCGGCGTACCCGCTGTCGAGCGAGGGGAGGGAGCCGGGGGGCGTCGCCACCATCGAGGACGCGGCGCCCACGTGCGGCGTCGATAACTCCGCCCCCGCCCCGGGCACGGCGTGCGGATGCGAATGCGAATGCGCGCCTTGCAACGAGGCGGTCGGTACTGTGTGTACATTCTCGTTCGACCCCTGTGCAAGCTGCGCGTGCACCGCGGCGTCACGTTCCTGGGTGAGGGAGGACGAGGAGAGGGAGAATGAGGGGGGCGGGGAGGAGTGCGCTTGCGACGGCTGCGATTGAGAGGGATGGGAAGGCAGATGCTCGGCTGCGAGCGCGAGATCCGTGCTTTCGCGCGGGGGGAGCGCTGGGGGTGATTGGACGAGCGCGGGCGATGCGGTGGAAGCAGAAAGCGAGGGCGACGTGGAGGAATACGAGTGCCCGGTATGCGCCATCGTGCTGAGCGCGACGGAGTCGTCTGTCGCGCCGCGGTCGGGCGAGGGGGCGGTGCGAGGGAAGTAGGGGGAATCGACGTCGGGCGCCGGCGCGGTCGTAGTCGTAGGGTGCGAGTCGATGGTGGTGGGCAGCGTCGACGTCGAGGATGCGGACGCAGAAGTGGGCACGGACACGGAAGAAGACGAGGCGGCGAGGGAGGCGTTGGACGGCGGGAGCGGGGGGAGGGATGCTTCGGAGGTCAGCGGTTCTGGCGAGGCTACACGATACCGTCGAGTCAGTATCATTCGTGAAAGAGGGAGAGAAAGTAAGGCGCACGCAGATAAGCAGCAACACCCTGCGGCAAATACGCCTTGGCGGTCGCAAGGGTCGGCAGGTACGCCTGTGCGGTCTCAATCAAGGACCCGTCCTGCCCTCCTCCCTGCCCTTGCCCTGCCTCCTTCACCGAATCCTTCTTCGACAGAACAGGCTGCGGGTCAGGTTCGAGATGCGCTGGAAAGCCGCCAGGGACAGCGGGGCCCGGGGTCGTAACCGGCGTGCGAGTAACGTGCGACCCGAGGATGTCGTTCATGCCTTCCGCCCATTCGCTCGCTGGCGTGGATGGGAGCGCGGTGGAGGCGATTGCGGGGACCATATTGGGTGCGGAGGACGTGGAGGTCATCCTGAGTGTTCTGTAATGCGATTCGAGGGGTAGAACAAGGAGATTTTGCGGGCAGTAAGCAGCAAGTATGCGAATCCAAGTGAAATGCAAGTAGAAATTGCCGTCAAAGGGAAGTCAAATCCGAGTGAAAAATCAGCGGGTTTTTGTCCGTGGAGGTTTAAGGAGGAATACGGTCAGAAGATGGCTGGCTTTTATACGAGCGCGGCGTCTGGGCAGGCGGTGGAGTGCGAGACATGACGTCGGTGTGGGCTGATGCCGCACCCGGGAGGAGGCTGTAGATAAACAGATGTACACGGGGTTCGGAGATGGCCGGATTGCTCTTGTTCTCGACGTCCATGGCTTGATGGTTGCATTGACCCGTCTTCTTCTCTAGCGGGCGCTCGTTGAATTCACTAGACACTGGTCCCCGCCATGCGCTCTAATCTCGCTTCTCAAGTCCCTCCTCGCAGGCTCCTGAGGCTGGGCCGTCGTGAAATTCCGGGCCACCAACGGGACACGGGATACTGTGACTCTGTGAGCAGCTCTGAACTCAAATACGCTCAACATCTCCTCCGTCTAGCCAGGCAAACGACTCAAACAACATCTCGGGCGTGGTGCACGGTGCGCGCCCGCTGCCACTCAACCGGAACGCCATCCCTGCGGGAGACCGGGTTCGACTCCCGGCGTCCGAATCCGTAGAACGTACAGTATCTTTTTGGGACTCACACAGTACACTCAACTCACACGAGAAGAGATGCATCGGCTACTCTTTATCCTGTCGCTGTCCTTTGTTCACGGTCTTCGAGAAATGAAGCCTGCCGCGTGTGGGTTCCTCCCGAGCGCTGGAATTGCCCTCGGTTCACGGACTACAAAAGCGATATATAATATCCGGCGCGAGATTGGGAGTGTATGCGGGAGCTCGGGTTCGACTCCCGACGTCCGAATCCCAGAAAGACGAGTTGGCCCTTTTTCTTTTTCTTTTTTCTTTTTTCTTTTTGGGACTCGCATCAGGGATGCCTCGGTACTCATACAGGGAAACTTCCAGATTTCCTCTATCCAAATCTCTCTCCAGGCACCAAACCGACACGTCTTCCTCCCGGGGCCTCAAATCGCGATGCATCGGTTCACAGCTACAGAAGCAACATATAAACTCGGACGTAGTGCACGGTGCACACCCGCCAATAATACGCTCCAACGACTTGGGCATGCGGGAGCCTGGGTTCGATTCCCGGCGTCCGGATTATGTACGATATATAGACCTTTTAGAGATTTTTTTAAACCTCTAGGTGGGCCCTGCGCTCAGTAAATGGTATGTCTTCACGGTCTCAACAGTGATCCTTATTCTAGCATCATTGAGTCGTTCTTCTTTCAGACTCATCATCGCTTCACAAATTTAAATAGGATCTCGGACGCGGTTCATGGTGCGCGCTCGTCGCCATTGACACACTAAGGCGAAATTCTTTTCTGCGGGAGAACAGGTTCAATTCCCAGCGTCCGAAATGGAGTTCTTCTGACCGTTTTTTTCTTCTGTCAAAGTACGCTGTGGCTCACTTTTACTGAAACGTCCTCTTTTCAGGGTCGTTCTTTTTTTAGACTCAGCATCGCATCGCAGAGCACAATATATGGCGCACGATAAGACTGTCTTTTCTTTTTTTTTCTTTTCCGGTTCAAACCAAAGCAAGCTGTACATCGGGTTCATTCATGTTACGCACGATTCTTTATTCTCTTCGAAACACCAATAATCTCATGCAGTGCCTCTCCAACATGTTCTTCAAAGCTCGCATGCCACACGGACTCCAGAAGCAATATATCTTGTCGGACGTGGTGCACGGCGCCAGCGATCATTGGGCCAGACTGGCATAACGAGCGGGAGCCTGCGTTCGACCCCCCAGTGTCCGAGTCGAGCGCTTTTTTCTTTATTTTCTGGATTCAAATTACAGCTCTTTGCGGAACTTAGGGCGCGGACGGTTTTTCTACCGTTTTGGGCACTTTTTGATCCTTTTCAGTCGCACACCCGCCCCGGGCTCAAATCATGCCCGTTTGCCTCGAAAGTTGGACCATTCAAACGGCAGAGAGTAGACGCATCGGATGGGCTGTTCGGATTTTTTTATATCCAACATATAGTGCTTTTTTGGACAGCAATCCGTTTTGACTTCTATAGCCAAGTAAAAAAGACAGATGATTCTGGGCAATCTCCGCGACGCTGCAGCTGTGCGATACCCAAAGGAACCGTCAAAACGGATTGCTGTCCAAAAAAGCACTATATGTTGGATATAAAAAAATCCGAACAGCCCATCCGATGCGTCCACTCTCTGCCGTTTGAATGGTCCAACTTTCGAGGCAAACGGGCATGATTTGAGCCCGGGGCGGGTGTGCGACTGAAAAGGATCAAAAAGTGCCCAAAACGGTAGAAAAACCGTCCGCGCCCTAAGTTCCGCAAAGAGCTGTAAACCAGGGTGCGCCTCGACTTTATTCAGGTCATGCAAATCCTTCGTCTTGATTAACCGACCTCTTGTGCTGCCCAGAGCCCAGATACTGACCCATCTGCCTAGCGTTTGTTCGCTCGGAATCCGGATTGATACCCAACATGTTCCTCGTGTGTCCGTTGAACACGATTTGACTCCACGGACTTCAAAATCGATATGAACATCGGATGTGGTGGGCGGTGCACACCCGCTAGCGATTATTGCGTCTAATTCACGTTACAAGCAGGAGCCTGGGTTCGAATCCCAGCGTCCGATTCAGGCCTAACGCGAATCCTTTTTGAATTCGAAACACAGCCAAGCTGTGCGCCCAAACGCTTAAGGTCCACGACTGTTTGTTCGCTTTCAGATAGCTCTCTTTTGGTTAGTGCGTCTTCCGAAATATTTTTTCCTTTGAAACCAGCATCGCTTCACAGAGTGCAACAGCGATATAGCAACTCGGACGTGGTGCACGGCGCACACCTGCCGCCAATTCGCAAGAATCGGTGTCTATGCACGTGGGAGCTTGGGTTCGACTCCCAGCGTCCGAACTGTGGAGTAATTCAGCGATGCTTTTCTTTTTCTTTCGCAATCCAAACCAACCCAGGATTAAGGTGCGTCCCATCTCAGTCAAGCCACGCGGATATTTATCTCTTTGGAACACTCATTCTACCCAGTACCTCGTCAACATGTTCTGAAAAAATCGGCATCCCTCAGTGGACTACAAAATCGCTATATAACATCGGACGTGGTGCATGGTTCACACCCGCCAGCCGTTGTTTGCTACGATCCAGTTTGGTATGCGGTAGCCTGGGTTCGATTCCCAGCGTCCCAATTCTATAAAGGCGACGGCGTATTTTTGGATCTTTGGGACTCGCACCAGAAGCGGTGCCCCGCTCGGGCACGCTGGCCTCTCCGAGACTCGACATTGCTCTCGCTTTACCGAAATTTTGGGTGAGATTGAATAAACTTTGTTCGTGTGCATCCTCGCTTGCGGTGACCGATATGACGATGCAGCTCGTATGTAGCGGTTGGAACCGTGGAAGAGGGAGAGGAACTGAGTGCGAATACGAAAAGGAGAGTGCATTCATTCGGGGGAGCCGAACCCAAGCTTCCCACTCGCAGACAATGATACACCGATCCTTCCCAGTCGACGCGGGTGTGCGCCGTGCACCACATCCGATTTATGCTTTGTTGTGGGTACCGCGTCAACCGAGTGAGATTTCAAGTTGTCTATTTCAATATCGCGACGCAGATTGTGCTGCAAATACGAATACAAGCCGGCTCAAATTTGGTGGAATTAAACCAGTTTTGTCCGCGTCCTTGGACGCGGGGACGGATACGAGCAGCCCAAACCTGAGAGAATCATGCAGGTTGTGCTGCTGCTAAATACCAGCTTGTACCGGTGGAAGAGTATTTGCTCACCTCGTTCACATCTGGTGCAATTACAACATTCAAGAGACCCTTGCATGTATGCTCGCCGACATGCACGGTTGGATTCACACTGCAGTCACTTAGGGTCCGGACGCCAGGAATCGAAAGCGGATCTCTCGCGGTAGATGATAGGCCGAGGCTTCATCAGCGCCGCAGCGGCGCACTATAAAATCTGCATGAGAGGTAAGCTTGGGGGCGTAAAATCCAATGGTATCTCGAATGTTAGAGAAAGAGCTGGGCAGGTTGAAGGCACCCAACTTGTTGCCGAGAAAGCAGTCAAAAATACGCACTGTCGCTCTTGCGCGGCCGCATCCCTTCCAGTTAAAAAAGGAAAGGGCAACCGCTGTACTCAGACGTCGGGAATCGAACCCGGGCTCCCGCATACAGGGCAGAGGGAACGAACGAACATCAAGCGTCAACAGGTGTGCACCACACACCACTTCCAAATTATTTTCCCAGATGGCCGGCGCGCTATGGGAGTGTTTGGTCCTGCGTAAGGGGGACGAGGTTCGTCCACTACTGCGCGCGGGTTGGATCATTGCATCATCATTTCTGGAGTCGGGGATGCAGAGGAAAAACGAGCGGTTGAGCTCTGGATCCGCGTGTCTTCTGGTTCAAATGCATTCATATGATGATGATGATGATGATGATGATTCAGAATCAGAATCATATCTTTCCATTCAGACGCCAGGAATCGAACTCGGTTTCCCGCGCACAGGGACCTTGGTCCTTATGGCGTGGAATTCCAAGCGGTCGTGTTCCACATACTACATTATTATTGCAATTTTCAAATCTAATGTCATTCGGGGGAAAAAAAATGTTTTGACTTCGGGAGGTCAAGTGTTGATAGATTGCATCATGCCTAAATGGAATCCGTTGATTCCAGTGTCCGATCTTTGCAATGAGATCAGCCTAACAGCCGAGGAGATGCAAGTGAACCAGAATGAAATAGAACCCGACAAAGCAATGACCTATGATCCAAATTTTCGCTTACTGAGTGGGACAAAGGACTTCCGAATTTTTTCGAATGATGAAGACTCGCTAAATGACATTGGTGCAAGACGACAACTCCCAACACTACCCGCACCAGAACTAATGACAGCATTTATCCATGTAAAAGTATTGCGGGCAGGACAATATGATCCTCAGATTATGGCGAGGTTTAAGATTACATCAGCTGATATAGAGGAAGATGAAACCGTACAGTTTACATTTGACAATCCCACAATTGTTTTAAACTTCCAATCTGGAATGCTTGGTGCTGTACTCACCTTACTGCAGAAGTTTCCTACTACCCCGCTACTGATATGCTCGACCTCTGACTTTTTACTCAAGACACTTATCAAAGAACGCACAAAGTCTGAAAACAACATGCTGGACCCAAACTTTCCTATTTTCAAGGCAGTCTTTGCCGCGTTGAATGAGCGAACCGCACGCACACATCTCAAAAAGACAACACATATATTCCCGGTTACTTCACCTCTGGAATTGTGTCCATCAGTCGAGGTCGATACTGAAATCGATGTCATGTTTGATTGCCCTGGGATCCTAATCGCCACAGGCTCCCAGAGAACATGGACAAAAGTAATCAAGTCCACATACCCCAAACCATTCAGGAAATCAACTTTCATTAATCTAGACCGCATTAGATGTTCAGTACAAGAGATATCCGACTACACACCAACCGACGAGATGATTTGGAGTTCCATACGCTCAACGAATTTGAGACGACTCCATCGCGAACTATTCTGGAAATCTATTCACGATATATTCCGAGTTGGAGATTTCTGGATCCATGTTGATAATTTGGAAGTGATTGCAACTTGCAAGACCTGCGGAGTCCCTGAAACTTTAGAGCATATAGCAATGGAGTGTGATGCCTCCGGAGCGAAACTGATTTGGCAACTGAGTGAGAAACTGTGGACGACGAAATATTCCCAATGGCCTGCACTTAGCTGGGGACTACTTTTAGGCTGTAATCTCGTGAGATTCAAACACCTGAACAGTAAAATAATTCCTGAGATGGGCAGACTATTTGCCATCCTGCTGTCTACTTCCTGGCATACAATTTGGAATATCCGAAACGACAAAGTACTTAAAAATCCAAGCAGAACCATAGGAGATGTTGAAATTCACAACAGATGGCTGAAGGCTATAAATTCTGCCCTTGGACGAGATCGCATCCTTACGAATAAACTCAAGTTCAACAACCTTGCACTTAATAAAGATCTCGTCCTACGGACATGGAGTGGTCTACTAATGAACGAAGATCAGCTGCCGGATGACTGGACATACACAGAGGGGGTTTTAGTGGGTATACAGCCATTAAAAATCAATGATTCGAAGCACGGAATAGGATAACCTTATGGAGGCTGGAGTCCCACACTATGATATGTGCGTAATGGCATTTCCTCCTTGGACAACTTCCCCGGCATTAACTAGAACTTTCTAGTAGACCCAGCGAATGACTTTGGAATGCTTCTGCAGACTGAACCTCATTATACCAAACGCTCCAAAAAAAAAAAAAAAAAAAAAAAAAAAAAAAAAGGAGGTCAAGTGTTCGGATCGGGCGGTCCGCAAAGACTTTAGCACAACATAGGTAAACAGTGGCGGATCTTTGCCAGCCTTCTTCCACCCTCGTCGTCGTCCCCGCTATGGTCAACAAGCACATCAGTGACGACGCTAAACACATCGGTCTCAGACTTCTGGCCCGTGGACGCGATACGCGGGAAGAGATAGCCGAAATATGTGAATACTACTGTACTATTTCGACCGAGTGTTCACACCATGTCACGCGTCACCATAGGTGTTCACTTTTCTGAGTGTTCATTTCTCGGCAATCACGTCAAAATTGCCAAATATGGTAGTCCGGCAACTGCCGGACGCGAAATTTTGACGTTTTTTTGACCTATTTGGGCCTCAAAAGTTGAATGTCACCATCACGGACACCAAAAGTGTTCAGTTCAGAAGGTCGCGTCACGCGTCACCTGAACACTCGGTCGAAATAGTACAGTACACGTACCCTGTTCCGTGCGCAAAAGCGATTGCGCGAGACCGGGAGTGTTTCGAGAGCTTTAGCCCGCAACCCAGGGCGCCCCCGCATCCTCAAGGCCGCTGATGCGCGGTTCCTCCTCAAATAATAATCCAACTTCTTTTTTGCCTACAACGGAGCCCGTATGAGAGGACTTGCTGAGTAAATTTCGCATGTGACAGACAGTAAGCAGCAGACTGAGGGGGGCAGGTGCAGGTCCTTACCTCGGAACCTTCCTGGGCCAGAGCGTGTGTCACACAATTCCGTTGGGGAAGCAAAAGGAATTCGGGCGGTTGAGGTCAAAAACGCGTCTCGTACATTTTCACACTCGGACGCCGGGAATCGAACGTTCCCCACCTGCACGCAGTTGGGTGAAAGATCCACTAGGTAGCTAGTGTGCACCACGCACCACGTCCCAGTTGTTCTCTTGCATCGGAACCGGGCTGTGACGGTTAATGTTGGAGCGCAAACCTGACGATATAGATTTGTGAACATGAAAAATATAATCAAGTAGGTTGCTAGAGGGTCGAGGTACTCACCTGAACGCTTGGATATATATCTCGAAAGCCTCTGCCAGTTACTTGGAAGTCGGGTGAAGCGAACGAAAAAGAACCCGACAGAACCGCACACGTAGTCGGACGCCGGGAATCGAACCCGGATCGCTTGCAGTGGTCAAGATTATTTCGACATCCGAAGTCTCCGCCAGTGTGCGCCATGCACCACGTCCGAGAGATTTGTTGTACATTGGAGCCGGGTCTGTATGGGAGTCGGATAGGACGGAATTTCGACTGTCAGACTATGGAACGCATGAGGG